AATAGAGCAAGACTCCATCTCAAAAAAAAAAAAAAAAAAAAAAAAAAGAGAGAGAGAGAGAGAGAGAGAGAGAGAAAAGGGGAAAAACACAGGAAAAAAAAAAAAAAAAGCCCCAAACCCCAGTCATCCTGCAAAGGGCACATGCAGCTTCTCTCCAAAGGAGGGAACCTGGTTGACAGAAGAAATTGCCAACTAACCAAGCTCACAAGGCATGGTCAGGGGCCGGGGAGGCACGCCTGAGAGCTTGTTGTGTGAAGAAAGCACCACACACAGTCAGCAGGACAACTGGTCTTTGCGATGGTCAATTTCATGTGTCAACTTGGCTAGACCATGGTGTCCATTTGTTTGGTCAGGCACACTCTGGGTGTTTCTGTGAAGGCATTTTTAAAATGTGATTAACATTTACAATCAGTTGAACTTAAAGCAGACTATCCTCCATAATATGCATGGGTCTTACCTGGTCAGTTGAAGGTCTTAAGAGCAAAGATCAAGGTTTCCTGAAAAGAGAAGGAATTCTACCCCAAGACAGCAACATAAACAGTCTGCCTGAGTTTTCAACCTTCCGATGCAATACTACAACATCAACTCTTACCATAATTTCCAACCTGCTCTATTTGGACTTGCCAGCACCCACAATTATGTGAGCCAATTCCTTGTGTATGTATGTATGTGTGTGTTGCATGTATAAATTCTATTGGTTCTGTTTCTCTGGAGAACCCAAATACATTTAATAGGCTGTTCCTCCAGGAGCCCAGATCATCTTTCTCAGGTCTCCCCTGAAAGCAAATGAGATGAGAAAGCACTTCAGTTTAAGGGCTGCAGCCTAAAGTCAGGAGCTCTTCTTTAAGAGAAAAGAAATCCCCAGCCAGTCCAGGGATCTAAATGCTGGCTTTTTCCTCTTTACGCTTACCTCAGTGAATGTCACCAGGCACACTCTAGCTAGCACCAGTCTGAAAAAGGGGAAGTACCAGGAAAAGGAAATATTGAGAGAAACCTGCACATGTCCAGTTTCTCCTGCTAGGAATGCTTATGTGACGTTTTCAGAGAGTCCCCAGAAACTCCAAATAAACAGCCACATTGCTGAACCCACCTAAACTCTGACCCAGTTAGATGCAGCGGAGAGAGTGAATGAAACAAACACGACGGTTTGTGGGTATTTTAATCTTCTCCAAACACTGAAATATTGTTGAGATGTTTTATCTT